TATCCCACCCATAAACCAGTAAACTGAAATTCCACCCACTTTAATCATACGTTTACAGACTTAAGGGTGGAATTACAGTAGAAATGACAAGATGAAGATTTTCTGTTTGTTTTACAAACATGAAAATTGTACCCATTTTTATCAATAGGATTTCAGAAGCTGCCATAATAATAAATAAATCACCAACCTTTGGAGAGCTGCTTTGAATACAAACACAACTGCCGTTACCACCGGTACCAAAGTTTAGGACAACAAACTGTGTAACCCAGGCAGACTCCTGGACCACCAGTACAAAGGCAAATAATGTAGGTCAATTCACAGTCAAAAGATCCTGCCTCCCTGCCACACAAAAGAAAAGTGGGATTTAAAACCACAACTTTTTAAACACGCACCTATTCCTGAAATGGTCCAGGATGGAGTGTTGAAAGCTAACCGAAAGAACAATTCAGGGACAGAACCATTGTTTTTCTGTTCATTGCATCCTTCCACATCCCCTAAAATGTTGCACCAGATACGTTGCAAAGGTTTACTTTGGCAATAACTTCAAGCAACACTGCTGAAGTCACTCATTGGTATACAGCAACTCTTTTGATGTCCAAGTCACTCTGAACCAAGACTTACTGCAATCTATGTATGGGACATATAGCTGCAGAAATCGCATCGCTTCTTGTATTTGAATAGTTTTTTGCACATAGTCACCTAAATGCGACAGCCGTAATGGTACAAATCTATGAAAGGCGAGTGTAAATGGGGATGGGAGCGTACATTACTGCAAACATATGGCAGTCATCTTTATAAGGCCTGTTAACATCCCCATACCTAGTACTTTTCTGTGTAAAAATCTAAGAAATAAGATATCCTTCCAGAATTCAGATTAAAAAAAAAATAAAAATAAAAATCACAAGGCAGGTACTTCAAATGGCAAGCCATAAAACCAATAAAAAAGAATCCTTTTCAGAATGCACAATTATACCAGAAGTTCACTGACACGGGATGTTGTGAACACTAATGCCATAAAATTTTTCAAAACAAATCAGACATTTTTCAGAGAAAACAATCCATCAGCCCCCATTAAACACAACAGCCTCAATGGAACTGCCAGCCCAAAGATTTCCTGGAGCAATAACTGCTGGAAGGGTTTACCAGGAGGATAACTCTGTAGTTACAGTTTTCCTATGCACCTGTAAGCGGCCACATCAGAAAGATACTGAGCTAGACAGATCTCTAGTCTGACCAAGAATAACTGCTCTTCTTCAGCTCACAAAATTGAAGACTACAAGATACCAACCTGTTAATAAATAGGAGCCAAAGTAGACTAGTACGAGTAAAAGAGATAGTCTTAAAATTTCTGATTGCATATCACATTCCACACTGACTCCTCTCTGAACATGCTACAATAATACAGCCTTTATAATATTACCTATTCCCATAAGTATCTCTTTAGATTCCAGTATACCCAAAATGTGCTTGTGTACATTTAGGCACAAATATGTTATACAGCACCAAGATCAGCTAGCAGCATAGTGATATATACTTGCAAGAGCCTGTGAAATCCCTTTGCAATCAGATGCCTGTTTACATAGAATTAAACACACTCAGCAAGGAAATAAGTAATAATTTAAAAAACCCTTTCCAAAATATTTTTGAATGTGTATCTAAGACGTAGTCCTGTTCCATCATCTTCTGCCGAAGGAGGGAAGAACAGCATCCTCGAGGGTACCTTACCTTTCCCTGAGGAAGAGGAAGGTTGGAAGGGCTCAGGCTCCACGCCAGTATGAAGGCCTCTGGAAAACCGGCTGCTGGCAGCCAGTTATTCCTCCTTCCCCCCCAAACACTTGACCCCATTGGATACCATAATAACAGCGGGCATATTTCACGCTACGGCATTTTTAGAGCGAGGACCACTTCTAGAGCACCAGAGCCCACGCGAGATCACGGCGCTGCAACCGCAGACCGGGGCCCGAGCGAGGCACCGGGCGCACGGACGCCAAGAGAGGTCCCTGCCACAACACCAGCACACGCCTCCCTCTCCTCCTTGCACTCCAGCTGCTTCCACCGCACCCCACCTTTCCATTTTCCCCTCTCTGGGTCAGCTCTCATCTCTCCCGGCGGGGTCCCACCTCTGCTACACCAGCGATGCCTGCGCAGCGCACGCGTCATCACCTCCTCGCTGAACAGATTCAGGGAGACAAGTCTTAAAAAAAAAAAAACCTCTCTCCTGCAGCAATGCTGCTTCCACGACAACAAGGAGGAATAGCCAACTAATAATGGACTGGCTGAGGTGCTGCCAGCTTCAGCAAACGTGTCTGGAATTTTTTTTTTTTTTTTTTTTTTTAATTTAAAAAGCTTCCAGTTGAGCGTTGGTCATCTTCCTAGACCCAACACCTGCACTGCAATTAGCCCAGGGCCTGCACAGCAGCCCAGGCACGATCAGGCTGTGCACAAAGACGCCTGCCAAGGCCTTTGCTAGTCAACTAAATGAAGCTGAAAGTAAGTTTGCCCATGGATGCAGGCAGCACCTAACGCACTGCAGAAGCTCCCGGAGTACAGACAATCAATAGTAAGTGCGTTACAATCCCAAGAAGTTTACCAAAAACTTATTTACCATGTTACTGTGTCCACTCATTGTGCTTTTGTCTAGTATTTCCAATACGCTAGATGCAGCACATCTCTCCGATGTAAACGATTGCCCTAATCCCCCATGTTATAGACACAGATACATATAATTTGTTTTCCCAAAGTTGAATGATCATTTCGACCTTTGCTAATCCGATTGCATAACAAACTACAGCAGCCTTAAATAACCAAGCTGCTCTCCCTCCAGCGCGGATTAGTTGAAATCACTCATTTCAGCACTCCACTGCTTTTAAAAAAACAAGATGAAACATATAATGGAGAAAGAAGAAAATAAAAGCACCTGGCCACTGCCTTCACAGCCGACTAGCGTACAAGACGTATCGCAGCATCCGGATGCAATGTAGTAACTTCACACCTGGTGCAGGCTGCAAGCACAAGGTAAAGTGAAATGTTTTCGAGCGGTGAACAATATTGCACAATTAAAGCACATTCTGCTAGATCTTATTCACAGCTCCAGCGCAGGCTGTTAAGCAAACTATACAGCGTGGATTTTCAGAACAAGTAATTGCACGTATATAAACAAAGGCCATAATTTACATGGCAGATCCCATAAAAGCTTATCTACCGCATGACGTCACACCCATAAATTACAACTTAAAGTACCAGTGCCAAACTGCTCCTGCCCTCCCACCCCAAAATGAACATGATTAATATCAAATGCTGCTCATCCATGCCTGTGCCTCTTGGAAATAAACACCCATGAAGTACCTCCCGAGACAGAGTAGTACTTAAAGATTCTTCAGACAATGAGAAGATTTATAATTATTATTGCATTGCATCATCACAAAGTCTTAAACAAATCAAGCTGCCTCATCATACAACACTTAAGATAATATAAGGTTAAACAACATCAAGTAGTACCGGTGCGTTCCACTTGTACCAAAGGGCAAGTACGTCCAGCCCCCCCCGTACACAGGAGATCTTCAGAAGCACGTAGCCTTACAGCTATTATCAAACAGCAAGTTAGAAAAGGAAAACCAAAACACACGTATTTCTTTGAGCAAACTCAGGATCAGAATTCTTCCACTGAAACCCAACCAAGCAGGGCACAGGGAAGGTGAAGGGCAGGCGAACGGGAAATCGAATAAGGCGAGGAACGTGTTTTAGCATCCCTCAGTTTCAGTTCACCGCTCCACGATCAGCTCATCAGAAATCAAGAGGCAGTACCGAGGGCTAATACGAAACCACCTATTGATCGCAGCCAGCTTTCTACAGCACACGACAAAATTCGTCCTCTTGACTGATACCCACGGCAGCAGCCTCATTGCAGAAGTTACAGACAAGGCAGGCATCCGCAAACGACTCTCTCACCAACACACATCTGAATACCTTTCTAAGTGACAGCAAGCTAAGTGTCTCTGCTCCTCCGAGTCCGCAGTCACCCACGCATCTGTAAAAATTATCCCAGTGTCCCTACGATCTGCCTGCGCCGGGAGACTACCTACACAGCCGGCCCAGCACCAGGGAAGAAAGAGGCTCCAGAGAGTCTGTCCACGCCAGCTGGGTCTGTGCCGTCTCCATCACGCTCAGCCCGCACCGAATTCACCATTTCTGCGTGTTATTACGAATCTGACATCACACCAGTGCAAGCACAGTCTGACATCTACAGTTAACTCGGTGATGGTGTAAGTGCCGCCTGGCTTACAGGCGTTTGGTGTTGCAATACGCTTGCGGCTGAACCCTTGAAAGAGAAGATACAGATACATATAAAATCTGCTACAGAAAGCCTCGCAGTGACTTGTTTCTTCTCCGGGAGACCGGCAGACCTGCGGCGAGCTTCGTCCCTCCTGCGAGCAGGGGGGGAAATGCAGCAAGCGGCACCCCCGTACACCCACCCCCCCACCCCCCCCTCCGTGCAACACTCCGCTCCCGAGCCGCGGCACCCCCCAAAACAAACAGATGCCGTTCAACCCCCGGGCTGCCCGCCCGGCTCCGAAAACCTTGCCCACCCTTGCAGCCATTTCTCCTCCAAACCGCGACACCCCCCCCCACCCCACCCCAGTGTGTGCCGTGTGTCCCCCCCACACCACCCCCCCCCTCCCCAGCCCCGGGGTCTGGCAGCACTTGGCGAACTGCGGAGGAAGGCGCCCGCTCCCCGTACAAAGCCCGGCGGGGTCATGAATAAAACATCGCCTGGAGGAGGCGCGGGGGGGGGATACGGAGAAATAAGGGAATAAAAACGCTGCGCGGCGGGCGGGGGACGCGGTGGGGAAGGGGAGCCCCCCCCCCCCCCCCCAGGGACCCCGACCCCGGCCTGGAGCGGGGCCCCGGCCCGCCCGCCGCCAGCCCAGGCCCGGGCCTCCGCGGGGGGAAGCGGAGCCCCCTCCCCGACCCCCGCCCGCCCGCCCCCGGGGAACGCTCACCTCCGGAGCCGCCGCTCGGAGCGGCTCCCCCGGCGCGGAGAGCCGCCGGGCGCGGGGCTGGAGGGGACGGAGGGGGGGGGGGGACGCGGGAGATCGGGCGGCTCCAACTAAGTGTGCGAGCGCGGCGGCGGCGGCGGCGGCGGCAGCCGGGCGCGGAGCGGCCTCTCCGGGGAGCCGGGGCGGGCCGAGGCGGGGAAGGGGCGGGGCGGAGCCGGGGGCGCGCCCGGCCGTCACGGCGGGGAGGCGGGGAGAGGCCGCGGGGGAGGAGCCGCCGCTCCCGCCGCCGGCGCCGAGCCCCGGGGGGGGGGGGGGGGGGGGGGGCTACGGGGGCCGCTCCCCCAAACACACCCCCCCCGCTTACTGCCCCCCCCGGTGAGGGGCCGGCGGCTGCGCGGCGGCGGGGCCCGCTCCGGCCCTGCCCGGCCGCCGCCTCCCGCCTCCGCCCCGCGGCCCGAGGGGCCGGGCCACCCCGTGGCAGCCGCGGCCCCCGGGGCGGTGGGAGGCGGCGGGGGCCGGGGACGCAGGCCCTTCCTGACCGGGCGGGTGCAAACCTGGAGAGAGTACTGCCGAAGACAACCGGCGTGTGCCCTCCGTTGAAACGAAGGGTCTCAAAACTGCCCGTGGAACGGTCGTAAGTTATCAGAAAGGCGCCCTTTGTTCCAAACGCAACCAACGGGCGTCGTTTCAAACACCGCTGGCGGGCAAGGAGAGCGCCGTGTCATCTTTACCCTCATTTTTGGAAATCCTTGAAAAAAAAAGGTTTCCCACCGGCCGGCTTGTCCTTTTGCCGTGGGCCGTCAGGAACGGGGCCGCGCTGAGGATCAGCGCTGCGCGCCTCCAGCGCTTCGCAGAGACCTTGCCTGCGCACGGGGGTGGAAAAAGCGCAGGGATCGGACTTTCTCAGGTCAAGCTGTCGCTAATACACCAGCTGCTTTGAAGCGCGGTGTTTGTGTGAGCGGTGCGGTACCCTGAAAGGGCAACGGTGAGCTCAGGGGCGCTCCCGCTCCCTCTCCTGGAAGCCTGTACCCACCGCGGTGGGTGGACTGTCCTCTCCCGAGGGAGAAGGGAGGCTCAGCACCCACCACAGAGCATCTCGAGCGCCCAGGGTCCACAGTGTTTCAGGGCAGGAGCCTGGGCACGTTGAGGTCGGAGAACACCGGGCATCTGGGGGAGGTCAGAGATGCGAAAACACAGACCCCCCTGCGCCTTTGGTGTCCTTCTCCCGCTCCACAGCGGTGGGACGGGAGAGTGGTTCTCTGCCTTATTCGTGAAAGTTATTTTTTTTTTTTCCCCCAAGAGTGCAATGCGTATCAGCTTTATTGCAGCGTGCGCCCAAATTTTCACAAGCAAAACTGTGGGTTTGTATTCACAGAGGCATAGCTTTTCATGAAAACGACTTGACTGAAAAAAAAAAAAAAAATGGAGGTTGAGGTGAAGCTTCTTTAAAGATCCAGTTAGAAAAGCTTTCTCAGATTGTTTCTGCCAGGAAGTGCTACCATGTAGAAAGACTCCAGCAAGCCTACATTCTTTTCATCACTTACAGTTTTAGTATCTTTCAATAATCCAGGCAGATATGTTTTCATCTAAGGACCTTTATCCTTCACCATTATGAAAATGTTAAAATAAATAACAGTTTGTTTGCCAAATCCTTGGCAAGGTGCTAATTGCAGTCATTTCTACCTTTGTCTTTCTAGCAATCTAATTATTTTTCTCTGCATTGGAAATCACTACCAGGAAGGTGGACAGAAACAACATCGAGAGATTCCAAAAGGGGGAATAATTTTAACTCTAGGTTGACAACTTTGAAGTTGGCCTACTTTGTTTGTCACCGTTTTCACTGCAGAGAGCCTGATACTGTTTGCAAAGACACGTGGAGCTTTTACAGTGAAAAATACGTAGTGGCTATGCTGCTATAAACTGTGCTTCCAATAAAAACAACCATAAAAGAACAGCATAAAGCAAACATATTTTGTTTAGCCTGCACAAACCAACCTCCCTGTTGTGATGTGTGCAGCTCGTTAACATTCATAATATAATTATTTACATGTAAATCCACTTCCTTATGCACAATTTTGTTGATCAAGTCTTTGTCTACCACTCTGACATAGTCAAAGATACATCTAAAAGCAGAAAATAGTTATTTCCCTGATTTCTCATGTTTGATTTTACTCATTTCTGAGAATAGACATTGCACACGGGAGAGTTATTTTTAGAAGCTGGAAAACAATAAATAGTGTAAATGATTTCTGATATCCAGAACGTTTCTGGTACCAAGCGTAGCCTGTGTCAGCTGAGCCTGGTGCTCTGTCCCTACCTAGTGATGCCCAGACCAGGTATTAGTTCATTACCCCAAGAATTAATTATGGTTTTAATATCAAAATTGAGGGCTGAGGCTTGTCCCTTCAAGAATGTGATAACTTTCAACCCGACTTCTTTGTGGAGTACCAAATAAATTAGCTTTCCCAATTCAGTCCTGCTACTGCTGTGTGAATGAATTGACTGGGAGAGCCATGGACTAAAGCGTAGCCAGAGATAAGTATTTGCAAACACAAAATTATTATTATTAAAAAAAAAAAAAAAAAAGAAAAAACACACAAGCCCCTCAAAATTCATGGAAAGGAGAAGGATGAGGATAGAAATGAGTATCAAGAGAGTCAGTGACTCCAGAGACTGCAGTTGGTTGCCTTCTTTTGTAAGAAGCCCCACCTGTGGGCCAAATTCCGCCACACTAAATTTTGGGACCCTTTCTTCTCTAAGGCAATAACTTGTGTGCCACTGAAACCCACGGGCTTATCGCCAGGGAGCCCTCTCTGAGCAGGGCTACCTCTGGCATCAGTGTGAGGCTCCCTCATGCTGACCCCGACACAGCAACGCACAGAGCAGAGCAGAGAGTGACATGCACAATGAATTTCCAACGATGCCAGCAGGCTTTAAAGCTGGTGAGTTGGTGTCTCAAAGTCTGAAATTTCACACTATGAGAGGTTATTTGTTGGCTTAATCTACGCATTGTTTCTCTTCCAATGAATCCGTTTGATTAGAGCATGATTTTTACCCAGGCTGATGTATATTGTTTCCAATGTGGATGCAATAGTAGTGGGAATATGGACTTGTTTTCTCACGCCTGTGCTCACATTATACTGTCATAGCTCACTTACATTCACAGAAGAGCCTTTTCAGTACAATAACCCTCACTACATAGGGAGAGTTAAAAGTGTTACAGCTGGTGTGTGTGTAGCACAAGCATTGAAGATGCATAATGCAAAAGGGAGCACTGGAAACAGCAAGCCTCTTAAGAGAGTAGCTAAAACAGTGGTGTAGAAATATCAATTTGGCCTGCTTATGCAAAAAAAAAAAAAATAGTTATTTGGCTTTCATCAGACTACTAGAGTGAAATCAGTGTTTGTGTGTGTGCCACACATCGCCTAAGTTATATCAACACAATGATGCTTGTAGGGATCTATCTGCCTTCATTTCTCCTAAAAGTGGGAATACAGTTCACTTGTCGATGCCAAAGGTATGCCTGTTGTACCCGTGTCCTACTTGTTACTGGTAACAATAAACCGTTACTTTAATTGGGTAGTTGTTATCAGCACAGTTGTCCGTGTTCCAAGCCTGAAGATTGTTGCAAATGCCTAAGTTATCCTGGTTTATTTTCTGAAAGGTGCTGGTGATTTGCTGATACTTTAATGAAGATCTACATTTCAGAAATGGGAGAAATTAGAGAAGTCATGTCTCGGCTTACAGATAAATAGGTGAAATTGCTGCACATTTTTCCCAATTAACATGAATTCAAAAGAAAAACTAAAATGCTGCACAAACTGCTGCCAGGAACACTTTAAAGATTCTGATTAATTGATACCGTCTAGACCCTGCATGGAAGACGCTAACATAAACTCCACAGACGAGTTTGTTTTCCCTTTGAGAATAATAGTTCCAAAACGTTGAACTGTTTCCTAAAGGTGCTGATATTCAAAGATCTTTGTAAACATGATCTCTGGGGCTGGAAAGTACAGTCGCTGTGAGAGGACTCTGGCAGCCGGGGTGATGAAGCGCTGCCTCTGTCCCCAAGGACTGGAGGAGAATCAGAGTTGGGCTCGCGTGGACCAGATAGCTGGGGCTGCTGGATAACGGAGAGAGGGCACAGAAAAGCACAAGCTCTGTAGATTCAGTTTCCTCCCATGGATTTTCCATCTCCTGTAAAATTTGAAGACGTCACGTACCAAAAATTTTTACAAGGTGGCAAACTTGCTGAGGTGGGTTTGATGCTGTAAATCAACAAGCTGCTCTTTGAGCTCTTCTGCTGCTTGACAAGCGATACAGGAACAGGCGCGTGAACTTCCCAGCTCCTTTTTAATGGTGCATTAACATCAAAGTCTAGCTTTACATATTTAAATCATTACAAATTAGTGGATGTTTGTTTTGCAGAGTCTGGCCCTGCTCGTTGCATTCACTGTCATTATTAAAATGGAAATGGTGTTAATCTGCAATAAAGAAAAAAAATATCACAAATTCTTAGCGTATTAGAGAATGCATTTTAACCAATAAATAATTATCTTAGAATAAATAATGCCATTGGAAACATGAACAGCTCTCATTCACCTCACTGAACTGTACACCTGTTCAGAGGCCAAAAAGCGTGAAATATTTTAAAAGAGTCAAAGATTAATCTGCATTACTTAAACTGCATAATTCTCCCAAATTTTCTTTTTCATGTTTTCCTCATCACAGAAAAAGGCCTACATTAAAAGCCTGGGACAGAAAGCAAGCCCAGCTGTAGGAAAAACCTATAGACACCTCTGGGAATTTTCAGACAATCTTTACTGGTCCCAGTTCTATATGCAATGTTTGTTTATTTACTCCTCAGATTCAATTATTCTCTTTATACCTGAGCTTGCAATCAGGCAAGATAAGACAAAATAGGTAGATAAGTCCTCAGATGAGCCATGCACATTTTGGATGCTGTACAAACAAGAATAAAAGATCTGTGTCTGAGCACCCAATTCTGAGGTCCTAATTCCAGGTTAGTGACTTTCCAAAGCTGTCTATTAATTTCAGGCAAAGGCAGAGAGAGTAAAGAACAAGCAGGAACTTTAGTTTTCAGTTGTTCAACATTTGGATGCAGCACAGACACTGCTAAAGTTAATACATTGAGTTTCTTAGCCTAAAATATGTTTTGAGCTGGGACTG